TATATATAATTAGCCAGTGCTTGTGGCTCATACCTGTCATCCTAGCTACTCAGGAGGCTGAGATATGAGCATCACGGTTCAAAGCCAGCCCTGGCAGGAAAGTCTGTGAGACTCTTATCTCTAATAAACTACTCAGAAAAAGCCAGGAGTGGTGCTGTGGATCAAGTGGTAGAGTGTTAGCTCTGGACCAAAAAGAGGCTCAAGCCCCTGGACTGGCCAAAAAAAAGGTTATTAATTTATTGTTATTATGGAGGTGATATACAGAGGGATTACAATGACGTGAGTCAGGTAATGACTCAGTGTCTTCTGTTCCCTTCCTCTCTCCTAGTGCTTCTGGCTTTTTGGTGGTTCATTGGAGATAAGAGTCTCATGGATATGTCTGCCTGGGCTGGCTGTGACTCACGATCCTCAGATCTCAGTCTCCTGATTACCTAGGACGACAGGTGGCGTGAGTCACCAGCACCTGGCTTTCAAGCATGTGTTTTCCTTCAGGTCTGGCCTAACTCCCAGGAAAGATCTGGAGAGTATATTTTCATAGTGAAACAAATATATTGACTTCAAAGAAACGCAGTAGTACCAAGACAAAAAGTTGAAGCAACACCCATTCCCCCAAGCCCTAAGCAAAAGGCTCTGGTGTGGTCAGAAGAGGAGTTACAAAAGGAGGAAATGGAAGAAGAGAGTTCCTTCCTGTCTCCACTCCCCCCCAGCTCTCTCCATCCCTGGCGCATGCTCAGAGGACATCGGCTGAGATTCTGCACATTTCATCCAAGTGAGTAACTATGCTGCTGAGCTTTTAAACTTCAGGGCAAGTGTGTGGTTTAGAAATCTCAGCGTGTAAGCCGGGCGCTGGTGTACTCACGTCTGTCATCCTGGTTAGTCAGGGAAGATGAGATCTAAGGATTGCAGTTCAAAGCCAGCTCCTGGCAGGGGGGAAAAAAATCACTGGAGCCTCTTTAATTCCCAGGAACCAGCAAAAAGCTGAAAGTAGAGAGGATGGTTCAAGCAGTAGAACACCAGGCTTTTTTTTTTTTTTGAAAAAGACAAGCAAGAGGGCAAAGCTGTGAGTTCAAGCCCCAGCACACACACACACACACACACACACACACACACACACACACACACACGCAAGCACACGCACACGCACACAGAAGAAATTCAGAGTTTTTCAGACTTTATAGGGGAGAACTAGATAAAATGAGCTGAATTTGGCCCCAGGAAGACAGAGAAAGGGGGATGAGGTAGAACCAACTCCACACTGTCCCCCTTAGAAGCCAGTCTGGGGGTGCTGTCTGGGTAAGCTGGCAAGCAAATCAGCTGTCTGGCCTCTGTCTCTAAAGTTCCTGTTTTGCTTGGGGACCATGCCAGGTACTCTGTCCAAAATAACAAGATTCCCGACTGCCAGGAATTTGCAGTCTCATAGGTAGAAAGAGCTCAAAATTAATTCCTCTATGGTAGACTGCTTGCCTAGCATGCATGAAGCCCTGGGTTCGATTCCTCAGGACCACAGACACAGAAAAAGCCGGAAGTGGCACTGTGACTCAAGTGGTAAAGCACCAACCTTGAGTGAAAAAAGCCGAAGGAGAGTGCAAGGCCCAGAGTTCAAGCACACACACACACACACACACGCTTCCACTTTCAGTACTTGTCTCAGCTCCATTTCCAGAGCTGGCATTTTTCTGGCTCTTTCTCTATGTTTTGGTTCCCCTTGGAGTGGGCGGGGAACAGCTGGTCACCATCCCCTGGCCGAACATTATTCCCTTTTCCATTTGGAAAGAATTTAGGCAAGTAGAGCCAGCTTTGTCTGCGGCCTGAACACCCCAGTCTTGTGGTAGGAAAAGACTAGAACAGTCATGATTTCAGAGTATGAACTAGGCCGGGCGCTGGTTGGCTCACACCCAGTCATCCTAGCTCCTCAGGAGGCTGAGATCTGAGGATCATGGTTCAAAGCCAGCCCAGGCAGGAAACATCCATGAAGATATTTTTGATCTCTAATGAGCACACACACAGACACAGAGACACAGACACACACACACACACAAGCCAGAAGTGGAGCTGTGGTACAAAGCAATACAGCTGCTAGCCTTGAGCACAAAGAGGCTCAGGGACAGCACCCAGGCCTTGAGTTCAAGCCCTAGGACTGGCAAAATAAATAAATAAAAAGAAATCAGGGAGATGAGGAGCCACGTGGACTATACTTTCTGTCTGGAGAGCTGTGATGTAGTTCCCCTGATTGACATCCACCCATTTCTGAAAAAGGGTCCGCCCTTGCTGAGAAGATAACTTAGGGGATGCCCATAAAGACTGTGAAATCCCCCTCCCCCAAGTCACATGACCCGCACACCAGACAGCAGGCGTTTAAAGAAAGATGGCGGAAGACACAGAGGGCAAATGATGATCTCTCTGGTTACCTGTTATGAGGAAAATAGCTCCACAGGAAACAGATGGCTTGAGATGGTTTCAGGAGCAGATAAGATCAGAGGGACCAATAAGAGAAACGGTGACAATCGTGTTATATTAAATTCCCAAAAAGGATGCTAGGCCTAGCAAGTGCAAAGGTCCTGAGGTCAGGCCTCAGCACCTTGAAGTAAATAGAATCAAAGAAGTAAATATCCAGCAGCCTAGATTGAAATACATACGGAGGACTAATCCTTAATTCTTTTCTTTTCTTTTTGGTCAGTCGTAGGACTTAAACTCAGGGCCTGGGCGCTGTCCCTGAGCTGCTTTTGCTCAAGGCTAGCGCTCTACCACTTGAGCTACAACGCCACTTCTGGCTGTTTCTGTGTATGTGGTGCTGAGGAATCAAACCCAGGGCTTCATGCATGCTAGGCAAGCACTCTACCACTGAGCCACCTTCCCAGCTCTGCCTAAGTGTTTCTTATAGTCAAATTCCAATTCCTAAATGAGGGAAAGAAGCCTCAGATTGGTGAACTCATGCCTGTCATCCTAGCTACTCAGGACACTGAGATCTGAGGATCACGGTTCAAAGCCAGCCCGAGCAGAAAAGTCCCCAGGAAACTCTTATCTCCAATCCACCATTCAAAAACCGGAAGTAGCTCAAGGATAGGGCCCAGGTCCTGAGTTCAGGTCCCAGGACCGGCACAAAATAAATAAATGGATAAATAAATACTAAAAAGTTGCCACGTGTGAATGACACATGCCTGTCATCTTAAGCTGTTCAGGAGGCTGAGATCTGAGGATTGTGGTTCGAAGCCAGTGTGGACAGGAAAGTCTGTGAGACTCTTATCTCCAGTTAATCACTCCCCCCAAACTCAGTTCCCTGATGCCTGTCTTGGGGACCCCACTGCCCAATGAAGACACCCTGGGAAGGATACAGAGAGCATCTCTAAGAGTCATGGCTAGCAGATGCAGAAAGATTCAAGTTGACTCTGTGTGGCCCCGCCCACTTGCCATCATGGCCAATCCATATTCACTACGCCCCTTCCCTATCCCAAGGCAGATGCAGAGAGGGTCAAGGTCCCTCTGTTTGGCCCCACCTACTTGCCATCATAGCCAATCAGCATGCATCATGCCCTCCCCCCCATCTCAAGGCAGATGCAGAAAGATTCAAAGTGACTCTGTGTGACCCCACCCACTTATCATCCTATCCAATCATCGTTCACCATGCCCTCTTCTTCCCCTGCCCCCTTCCCATCCCAAGTGCCAATCAGATGGAGATGAGTGTGGTTGAGACCCTGGACCACAGAGTTAGGTAAGGCAGGCTTCCCTGGCTGCTCACAGTTGACTGACAGTTCCATTCATTCATTCATTCATTCTTTTGTTTCTGCTCAGCCTTAGGTTTAGGCAAATGGACCAGATAATATATATTATTACATATTATATATATATGTAATATATAGTATATATAATTTTTATCTAGATGAAAGTGCAGATGACAAAACTGGCAGCTGGGATGGCAGTGGGGGGGTGAGGGGAGGAGGAGGGGAAAGCTGAGGCTTGGAGGTTCATGGGTGGGAGTCACAGCTGAGGATAGAGACTGTGGATGGAGTGAGGATTGGGGGGAGGTAGATCAGGTCCTGTTGGGGGAAAGTCTCCAGGATGGGGGGGAAGCTCAGGAGAGCTGTTCAGGTGGGTGACCAGGGTGAGTCTAAGGCCCTGGGGTGTGGACATTGGGCTTTGGTATTCTTTAGGCTTGGTTGTTGGAGCATTCATCCCAGAGAGGCTGACTGGAGGCTCCTAATTCCTGAAAGTCATCCACTCGGCTTCCCTTGGGGACAGGAGGGGTGTTCCTCTCTGGTTTGGGTGTGAATGATGGGGTGTCATTTGAATTTGACTCACAGGTCAACCAGCAAGGCAGCGGAGGGTTCTAGCAGGGGAGGGAGGCGGAAATCCAGGGAGGAGCACATTCCCTTAGCATTAAAGCAGGAAGAGCCCACGGGCTGATAGTCACACTCACTGGAGAAAGAGTGACTGGGATGCCATCTCTCCTTCTAGCGAGGCTGGGGTGAACTCTTCAGGTCAATGGGCTGCCTCTGGAGGTAGGTGATGGCAATGTACCCCAGGAAGGGTGGTTTGGGGTGGGGACACAAGTCCTGGAAGAGGGAGGGATGTAAAAATGGATTCTTAGTGTGTGTATGTGAGTGTGCTGGTCCTGGGCTTTGAACTATCCTTTAGACTTTTTTTTTTTTTTGGTCATTTTTTTGGTTCATTGGAGATCAGAGTCTCATAGCCTTTCCTACCCTGGGCTGGCCTTGAACTGTGATCCTCTAGATCTCAGCCTCCTGAGGAGCTAGGATGACAGGCGTGAGCCACCAGCGCCCAGCTCCCCCCCTTTTTTTTTTGGTCCCCACTCAAGGCTGATGCTCTTATCATTTGGTTCGCGCCACTTCTTTAGCTTTTGGGTGGGAGATAAGAGTCTCATGGACTTTTCTTTCCCGGCTGGTGTTGTGGAATGGTGATCTTCAGATCTCAGCCTCCTGAGGAGCTAGGATAGTTGGCAGATTCTGAGGATCTGAGTCTCCCCTGTCACAACTCCTCCCCCCCCTGGCCCCCGCTGACCCCCAAGCTCTGTGGACTTGCTTTGTCCTCTGTCTTCAGCATCTCAAGGACCAGGCTGTCCCTGCGTGTCTTTCCATCTCGCCAAACAGCCTGAGCAAACTATCATTTAATCATTAAGTTTACTTATGCCACAGCTGAGCCTGGAAGGGACCCAATGGCTATGCCAAGCAGTTGGTTAATTCTTATTTAAAAAAAAAACAAAAACCAAACCATCTGGAGTGAGGTGAGGAACAGCTGACTCAGAGAATCAAAGTAATGAACCCAGGGCTGCTCAGCCCACCTGTAATTCCAGGTATTTGGGAGGCTGACATTCGGAGGCTCACAGTCTGAGGCTAGAGTGAGCAATAACCACAAGACCCTACCTGAAAAAAAAAACAACAAACTAACATATGGGCTGGAGATGTGGCTCAGTGGTAGAGTGCTTGCCTAGCATACATGAAGCTCTGGGTTCGATTCCTCAGCACCACATACACAGAAAAAGCGGGAAAGTGGCGCTGTGGCTCAAGTGGTAGGGCACTAGCCGTAAGCTGAAGAGCTCAGGGACAGCGCCCAGGCTCTGAGTTCAAGCCCCAAGACTGGCCAGAACAAGCAAACAAACAAACAAAGCCAACTAACTAAATACAAAGTGCTTTGTGACTCCTGGATGTTGTTATGATTAGAATTTAATATCTCATGTTTTTTCAGGAGGAAGGAAGTTAGGAAACCCAAATTCTGTCACCGATTCTTCACAGGCAGGTTTTTCTGCCACGATGTTCAACTTCTCTAATCTCTGTGGAGATTTCTCCACAGCCCACACTACAGTTTAAATCAACTCTTTTTTTCTTTTTTCTTTTGGCGGTCATGGGGCTTGAACTCTCAGCCTGGGCTCTGTCCCTCAGCTCTTCAGCTCAAGGCCAGCGCTCTACCACTTGAGCCACAGCGCCACTTCTGCTTTTTCTGGTGGGTTATTGGAGATCAGAGCCTCACGGACTCTCCTGCCTTGGGCTGGCCTCCAAACACGATTCTCAGATCTCAGCCTCCACAGTAGCTAGGCTGACAAGCGTGAGCCACAGGCACCTGGCTTCATTCATTCATTTTTTTCTTTCTCCCTAGCCACAACTGGCCAAGATGGAGGAGAGCGGGGGGCAGGGAGGGGGGAGTTCAAGCCTTGAAGCTATCCTTCTCCTCCCCAGCATTGCCTAGAGCAAGCCAAGGAGCTTCCCAGGGAAGAGGCCACAGGGCCTCTGCATGTGACTTGAGCATCTGAAGATCTGAGCCATCAGATTCCTTGGTTACCAAGGCTTTGGGCTGGCTTGGAACCAGGCAAATAACTTCGAGGTGGCCAAGTGGAAAAGCAGGGAAGGAAAAAATGAGGCGAGAGGAGGAGGAGGAGGGTGGGAGGAAGGGAGGCGTCCAGGCTGATGAGTTCAACCGTTTTTCTGCTGTGATTCCCTAGGTGCCAATTTGAGGAACACAGCAGCCACCTTGAGGAGACAGATTGTGAGACACAGAGTGGAGCCAGGCGATCTCCCGCCCTGTCCACCAAAGACGGGTCCTGCAATCTGGAGGTGCACAGAGACTGAGTGGGTATCTGAGCTGTGAGTACCTTGTAAGGAAAAAGTGGGGGTGGTGGGGGGTGGGGGCAGGATTGGTTTCTTTGGATGGTTGAAATAATAATAATAGTAATTATTATTACCAGTCCTGGGGCTTGAACTCAGGGCCTTGGCTCTGTCCCTGACCCTCTCAGTGCTCAAAGTTAATGCTCTACCACTTGAGCCACAGCACCACTCACTTCTGGCTTTTTTTTTTTGAGTCATTTATTTGGAGTTGAGAGTCTCACAGACTTGGCTTTGAACCACCATCCTCTAAATCTCAGCCTCCTGAGTAGCTAGGATGACAGGTGTGAGCCATCACTGGTGCCTGGTCAGGGATGGATTTTGATGATTGGTTATTGATTTATTTGGGGACTTCGTTACTCAAGGCCGCTTAGTTACTCAGGAGGCTGAGATCTGAGGATAGAGATTCAAAGCTGGCCCTGGGCAGGAAAATTGGTGAGACTCCTATCTCCAGTGAACCAGCAAAAAGTTGTAAGTAGAGGGTATGGCTCAAGTGGTAGAGCACCAGCCTTGATTAAAAAAAGATAAAAGAGAGTGCAAGGCCCTGAGTTCAAGCCCTAGTACACACACACACACACACACACACACACAACCATTTTGCTTCCTGGCAGGTGGTCTGTCTTTTGAGCTTCTGCTGGTGAAATTCCTGTTGTTAAGTTGTTCTTCTTCAGTCTGGTCCTTCCTGGAAACAGAGAGAGAAAGTGAAAGAGAGAGAGAAGAGGAGAGGGGGAAAAGAGAGGGAGAGAGCACAAGCCTCAGAGAGAAAGCAATATGAAAACGAGGTGCTGGTCCCCAAATAGATCAATAACCAATCAGCAAAACCCATCCATCGCCAGGCTCTGGTGGTGGCTCACGCCTGGTATCCTAGCTACTCAGGAGGCTGAGAGATCTGGAGGATCATGGTTCTGGGGCTTGAACTCAGGGCCTGAGCTCTGTCCCTGAGCTTCTGTTTGCTCAAGGCTAGCGCTCTACCACTTGAGCCACAGCACCACTTCTGGCTTTTTCTGTGTATGTGGGGCTGAGGAATCGAACCCAGGGCTTCCTGCATGCTAGGCGAGCAACTCTACCACTGAGCCACCTTCCCAGCTTGGGCTTTTTTTTTAAAGTTCATTTCCTGCCCATTCAGGCGTCTGGAACTATCGTCCTGAGCTCTCAGGCTGCTGGGAGTAGTTGCTAGGTTGTTGGATGTTGGTTGTGGGCCTTGGAAAATTGACACAGTGACCAGGCAGGTGCCCTGGGCTGTCACGTGCACTGGGGTGAGCGTGATGGAGGGGTTGGGGGGGGTGGCTCGCTGATGATGACAAGAGAGAGGTTACAAGATCAGAGAATTGGCAGCAGGTTCTGGGTTCAAGAGGTGAGCAAGGGAGTTCCACGTGGAGGGCGAATCTTCAATAGTGCCCTGGACTAACACAGGCCTTACTGACCCTGACCTCTGCCTTTGATTTTATTTTTCTTTTCTGCACGTGTCAGACCCGATCGTTTGCTAAGGCAAAAGTCAGGGACGGGGAGAAGTTGGGTGACCATCAAGGCCCCAGGACTGGCAGCTCAGAGATCCACTGTGGTCCTTGTTGCTGAAGTCCTATCACATAAGAGTCCCAGTGCTGATGGGACCTCCTTGCTCTCCCTCCAGTGGCTCTGGCTGCTCACACAATCCCCCTAGCAGCCACCTGCTGGGGTGGGGTGGGGAAAGGGAGTTGGGGCTTAAGGCCAGGAGACCCCAGGACCACAAGGAAAGAGGAGGCAGACAAGCGAAGGAAAGTATAAGTTCTTGGGTTTGTTTTTGGGACTTTGTTTGCCAGTCCTGGGGCTTGGACTCAGGGCCCCAGCCACCCTTCCTGAGCTTTTGTGCATAAAGCTAGTACTCTACCACTTCTGGCTTTTTGCTGCTTCATTGGAGATAAGACTCTCACAGACTTTTTTGTGCCCTGGCTGGCTTTGAACCATGAGCCTCAGATCTCAGCCTCCTGAGTAGCTAGGAAGACAGGTGTGAGCCACCAGTGACATCATCATCATCATCATTATTATTTTGTGCCAGTCTTTGGGCTTGAACTCAGAGCCTGGTCACTGTATTTGAGCTTTTGTGTTCAGAGCTAACACTCTACCGCTTGACCCACAGCTCTACTTCCAGTTTTTTCTTTTTTTTTTGTGCCATTTTCTTGGGGCTTGAACTCAGGGCCTGGGCACTGTCTCTGCGCTTCTTTGGCTCAAGCTAGCGTTCTACCACTTGAGCCACAGCGCCGCTTCTGGCTTTTTCTGTGTATGTGGTCCTGAGGGCTCGAACCTGGGGCTTCATGCATGTGAGGTGAGCACTCTAACCACTGAGCCACCTTCCCAGACCGCCTCTTCCTTTTGAGTCAACCAATGAAATAGCCCAATTATTGACAAGGGCCTTCGGACACCTGACAGCAGCCTGAAGGAAGAGGGATTTACTGTCGAGCAATAAGACAAAATGGCTTAAGCCCTGTTCTGGACCAAGGTTAACTCCATTTAGTTTTCATGAGTCATCACAAACAAGAGAAATCTAGGCAAGAGCCCAAAAGAGAGTCCTGGATTGGTTTGACAAATAGTGACAGTTCAAACAGGTGTTGTTGTTGGGTTTTTTTTTTTTCTGGAAAGAGTTCCATAGAGCAGAGATCAATAGGGAGAAAGACCTTGAAATGTATTACAGCAGAAACAAGCCAAGTCTAAATGGTTCCTAGCATGCCAGGTACGTGCCCTAGGTGAAGAAAAGCTTGGTCCTTACAGAAGTCCCCCAAGAGTGCCTCTTTCCCTCCACAAGCATAAGCTCCTTATATGTAAAGAATAACAGAAGTGAGGGCTGGGAACGGTGGCTCAGTGGTAGAGCGCTTGCCTGGCATGCAGGAAGCCCTGGGTTCGATTCCTCAGCCCCACATACACAGAAAAAGCCAGAAGTGGAGCTGTGGCTCAAGTGGTAGAGCGCCAGCCTTGAGCAAAAAAAGAGCTCAGGGCTAGCACCCAGGCTCTGAGTTCAAGCCCCCAAACACTCTCTCTCTCTCTCTCTCTCATGCGCACACACACACAGACACACACACACACACACACACACACACACACACAGCACCAGAAGTAGTGGAGAAATAAGACCATGCCAATTATCACCACATTTTTATCCTTTTTTTTTTTTGCCATTCTTGGGGCTTGAACTCAGGACCTGGGCGCTGTCCCTGAGCTTCTTTTACTCAAGGCTGGCACTTTGCCACTTGAGCCACAGCAGCCCACATCTGGCTTTTTCTGTGGGTGTGGTACTGAGGACTTGAACCCAGGGCTTCTTGCATGCTAGGCGAGCACTCTACCCCTGAGCCACCTTCCCAGCCCTTCTTAACCATCTTTTTTCTTCCCTTTTTCCCTCATGTCACTGCAGAATTCCCATACTGGGAAAGAGGGGGGGGCTGTATCTTCTCAAGATGGCCTCCACCACCTCCCCTCTGCCAGGCACCCCCAACAACGTCACGTCTGTGAATCATTCCTTCTATGATTATGACTACCTGGAGGGCATCGAGTTCCTACTCTGCCACAAAGAAGATGTCCAGTCTTTTGCTAGAATCTTCCTCCCGCTCGTCTACAGCATGATCTTTGTGCTAGGCCTGATTGGCAACTTCCTTCTCCTGGTCGTCTTGCTTCGCTATGTGCCTGGACCACGTCGGAGGGCAGAAATCTACCTGCTCAACCTGGCCGTCTCTAACCTGTGCTTTGTGGTGACTCTGCCCTTTTGGGCCATTTCAGTGGCCTGGCATTGGATCTTTGGGAATTGGCTGTGCAAATTGGTGAGCGCCCTGTACACCACCAATTTTTACAGTGGCATCTTCTTTATTAGCTGCATGAGCCTGGACACGTATTTAGAAATTGTTCACCGTCAGCCCTGCTCCAGGCCGAGAACCCCGGGTCAAGGCCTGCTCTTCGCTGCTGCTGTGTGGGCTGTGGCTCTAGCACTTTCCATCCCCGATCTGATCTTTGTGCAGATCCACGAAGATCCCCCCCATGGGTGGAACTGCTACGCAGATTTTGGGGGCCACGCCACCCCCTGGAAACTTGTCCTGCGCTTCCTGCAGAACCTTCTGGGCTTCCTCCTTCCCTTCTCCATCATGAGTTTTTTCTATGTCCGGATTGGGTGTGCTGTGATCCGGCTGAAGCCTAGGGGTGGTGGCCGGGCTGTAAGACTCACAGTGGGACTGGTGGTGGTTTTCTTCGTGCTGTGGTTCCCGTACAACCTGACTCTGTTCTTACACTCCTTGCTGGATCTGCAGGTGTTCGGCAGCTGCGCTGTCAGCACGCATCTGGATTATGCCTTGCAAGTGACCGAGAGCTTGGCCTTCTGCCATTGCTGTGGGACCCCGCTTCTCTATGCTTTCTGCAGTCCCCGTTTCCGCCAATACTTGAAGGTGCTCCTGGCTACAGTCCTCAGAGAATCCCCAACCTCCGGGGACTCGGTCCACACCTCCCCATCCACCTGTTCTGTCAGTAGCAGACACACAGCCCCGGAAGACATGATCACCTTGGATGACCTTGAGAAGAGCCAGGCGGGAAATCTCCCTTAACAAGGTAGGTGGAGTTCATGAAGCTTGATTGGCGGTGGGGGTGGGGGTGGGGTGGGACAATGGGGAGGAGATTTGCACCTGACATCTGCACGAGGTGGGCCTCGAACTCGAAGCGCTGTCCTTGAGGGCTGAGTGGACTATCAGCCATTATTGGTATTTTCTCACCCTTGCCATTTTTGCTACTTCCAGGATTCGGTGTTCTCCCTCAAGTTGCTGCAATAGTTTGCCTCTGTTATACACTGTGCTTCTATTTTTCCCCCATTTCTGGGGCTTGAACTCAGGGCCTGGGCGCTATCCCTGAGCTTCTTTTTGTTCAAGGCTAGCGCTCTACCACTTGAGCCACAGCTCCACTTCTGGCTTTTTTTCTGTGGATGTGGTGCTGAGGGATCCTGCTAGGTGAGCACTCTACCACTAAGCCACATTCCCAGTCCTGATTTCTTTATTTCTCCTCCTCCTCTTCCTCCTTTTCCTCTTCCTCCTCCTTTTTTTTTGAAATGAAAAATAATACATGCTCCCCGGTGCACTGTCACCCTAGCTACTCAGAAGGCTGAGATGTGAGGATCATGGTTCGAAGTCAGCCCCGGTTGGGAAATCTGTACGACTCTTTATCTCCAGTGGAGCAGCAAAAAGCTGCAAGTGGCAGTGTGGCTTAAGTGGTAGAGCACCAGCCTTGAGCAAAAGAAACTCAGGGGTGATGCCCAGGCTACCATTTTGATTCTTGACTCCCATTACTCCTAGGGGGTGGAGGAAATGTCCCCCCCCTCCCTATTTTATCCTGTTCCATGCTCCAATGTCCACCTGGTAAGACTTTTTTTAAGTTTTTTTTTTTTTGTGAGACTTTGTGAACTTCTTTGCATTGGGGAATCTCAAGTGCCTGTGTGTTTTGTGTGGAAAATGGAAAGCTAAGGAAACTCCATCCTGGTCCCTTCCTCCCTCTCTTCTTTCCTTCCTTCCTTCCTTCCCTATTTCTTTCTTTGCCCTCTATTCCTTCTCCTTCTGTCCCTCTCTCCCCGCTTCCTTCCTTCTGTCTTTCCTCATTTTTTTTTTGGCCAGTCCTGGGGCTTGAACTCAGGGCCTGGGCACTGTCCCTGAGCTTCTTTTGCTCAAGGCTAGTGCTCTACCACTTGAGCCACAGAACCACTATCCAGCTTTTTCTGTGTATGTGGTACTGAGGAATGGAACCCAGGGCCTCAGGCATGCTAGGCGAGCACTCTACCACTGAGCCACATTCTCAGCCCTCATTTCTTTCTTTTCCCTAGATTCTTCCTTCTTCTGTCCCTCTCTTCCTCTTTTCTTCTTTCCACCCTTCCTTCTTATTTCCCCTACCCTTTCTTCTTCTCCCTCTTTTCCCTTTCTTTTTTCTTCTTCCTCTCCCTTCCATTCTTCCTTCTCTCCCTCCCTCCTTCTTTCCTTCCTTCCTCTCTCCCTCTCTTCTCCCATTCCTCCCTTCTTCTTCCTCTCCTTTCTATTCTTCCTTCTCTCCCTCCCTTCCTCCATCCCTCCTTCCATCCTTCCTCCTTTCCCCCTACCCTTTCTTCTCCCTCCCTTTCCCTTCCTCCCTCCTTTCTTCATTTCCCTTCCATTCTTCCTTCCCTCCCTTCCTGCCTCCTTCCTTCCTTCCTCATTCCCTTCCTCTCTCTCCCTTCTCACTTTCTCTTTCCTTTCCCTCCTCTCCCTCTTTCCCTCTCTCCCCTTGCCTCTGTGCCCTCTCACTGAACGCTTCCCAAGTGGACAGATGCTCTGTGTCACCAAGTGCCCTGTGTCCTGACAGCTCTCTCTCCTCTGCTCCCTGACCCCGCCCCCCCCTGCCCAGGGCCCGCTCATAGCACGCACCGCACGAGTGTAGTGAATCCAGATGTCCCCTTGCTGTCATCTGAGTTGACTTTGGAGCTTTTCCAACACTGTGTCTTCTCCTAGATCCATCCCTGCCTTCTTCCTACCACCTCTCATCAGGTACCTCCATCCCTCCCCACCCCCAAAAGCTCTGATCGCTCACAGAGCCTGTGAGTTTGGAGACATGGAAGGTGACGTTTGATGGTAGAGCTCCTGAAATCTTGCCCATGAGGGACTTTTGCTCTGTTTACCCGACAGCTGGCAGTGATGAAACATAGACCCTGAACTCCCAGAGTCTCTGACTTTGTACCTGTGGTGCCACACATGGTAGGCAGATAAGGGACGCCAGCTGGTTTGCTAATAGCGTGTGTGTGTGTGTGTGTGTGTGTGTGTGTACATGTGCATGCGCGTTACTGGTGTTAGGGCCCTGAGTTCCAGCCCTATGACCAACAAAGGACAAAAAAGAAAGACATCAAATGAAGGAGAGGACACTGGTGGACATGGTTCTATCATTTTTTTTTAATCTGGTGGGCTTTGGCTTGGGACAGGGGACAGAAAGAAGGCATCAAGTTGTTCAGAGCCAGGAGAGGCTGCACATGCACAGTGACAGGGGTAGAAATGTCTAAGGAGACACACAGAAGGGGCTTCTGGGATGGGAAGGTGGGGGGAGATCCAGGAAGGCTTCCTGGAGTAACTGGCCAGCAGTAGCAGGAGCAATCGCTGGGCTGGGAAGGTGGCTCAGGGGTAGAGTGCTCACCTAGCATGCATGAGGCCCTGGGTTCAAGTCCTCAGTACCTCATCCACAGAAAAAGCTAGAAGTGGCTCTGTGGCTCAAGTAGTCGAGTGCTAGCAAGTCCCTGAGTTCAAATCCCACTAGTGGTACCAAAACAAACAATGATGTAAAGGAGAGGGGTGCCACAGAACCAGAAGGAGGGGTGATCAGTTGAACATGTGGAGAGAAGACCAGAAAGCCCCCTGTCCGTGGCCAGGACTTACGGCTGGCTTGGCCGAGATCACTGCAGAGGCTTGAGGCGGTAGCGAAAAGGCACGTCGTACGTGGGTTGGGATGTCCCAAACCCCCAGCGCTCGGGGTCCAGTGGGGGCACGGCGATGTTGGCATCGATCAGCTCAAGGTCAAAGTAGGTCACCATGAGCAAGATGAAGAGTTTCATCTCACTGAGGGCAAAGAATCGGCCAGGGCAAATGTTGATCCCAAAACCCCAAGGCATGGAATAGTGGTGAATTTTTCTCCCTTGCTTGTAGAAGTCCACTTTCCGGCTCCCATTGGGGTTGAGGAAGCGATCATACTTAAAGCGATCGGGCTCGGGGTGGATGTCGGGATCCATGTGCACCGAGAGGTAAGGGAAGAGAGCGATCTTGTCCCCTCGACGGATCAGATACTGGCGCCCATTGGACATGGTCAAGGTGTAGTCTTCCTGGACCACTCTGAGCAGGGTGGGTGTGGCTCCCAGCCTTAAGGTTTCTTCCATCACGCTATCCAACACTGGGGTTTGCTTCAGGGCGCTGAACTTGAAGGTGAAGCACTGGTTCTCCTCCAATCGGGGCTCCCCTAACACCTCTTTGGCCTCCCTTCTGACCTCCTGCAGGGCCCAGGGGTGCTTCAGCAAGAACAAGAGCGCCCAGAAAGACGTGGGGCCTGTGTTACCCTGAGAAGCCCAGAGCATCATGAAGTTGAACTTGTCCTGCATCGCCTGCGTCCTACCTTCCTCTCGGAGCTGCTGGAGCATGTAGTTTAGCCAGACGCTCACACCTTCCTTGTCTTCCACTGACAGCATCCGGTGGAAGAGTTGCTGGAGCCGATTGACGTCCAGCCATTCCTGGGGTCTCAGGAGGGAATAGACGAACCTGGGGAAGAGCAAATCGAAGCGACGGAAGTGCACGAACATCTCTTCTGCTTGGAGCAAGGCTTGCTCTTTGTCTTTGGTGCTCCCGAACAGACTCAGGAAGCCGGCCTTGAAGACGATGTTGTAGCAGAAATGAAAGAGGCCGTCTTCCTGCCAGCCTTGGTTGTCAGGCCTCGAGCCTCCGGGCCCCAGCAGCACCAGGGAAAGACTCTCCAATAAGGCCCCATTGAGCTCCTCCAAACCATCGCCCATCAGATACCTAGCACTGGCTGTGTGGATCATCTGATTATTTTTCTCAGTGGGCTGGTACCCAAAGACCTTCAGGACCAGTTCTTGGGCATACTCCCTGAAGTCTAGCTTCTTCCGTGACTCCCTGAGGATTGAGCCAAAAGAGAGAGGGTCCATGACATAGGTGACGTACTGACCTCCGAGCTGCAAGGTGAATACCTCCCCGTGTTTGGCTCGCATGCGTTTCAGAAACTCCAGCATGTTCTTCCGGAAAGCCAGCGTGTGGCCCAGCCAGGGGATGAAGCCCTTGTCCAGAGGTGGCTCTTGAGGTCTCCGTTGTCGGAAGAGTCCCGGGAAAGACAGGTAGACAGCCACCAAGGCGAGCAAAGCTACCAAGGCCGGAGCCCACGGGAACATCGTGACTTGCTCGTGGCAGGCTGAAACTCAGCTCTGAGGCTGAAGACTGGGGGAGGTCTTGACAAAAATGTGATGGCAAAGGTCTCTGCATCTGGACCTTGATCTAGATCTGTCAACTCTTGTGCAAACAAGCAGCGAGCTAGCACCCAAGAGGAGTATTTCTCTGGTTTCATACGTTAACCATACTTGGCCCAGACTAAAGCAGAAGTTGCTGAGGATGAGGAAGAGCTCGCCAGAGACATGGGCTGGCTCGGATCCCAGAGCTTGCTGTGGCCAGCTGGAGGCTTTGCCCTGACCTTTGACCCTGCGTTGGCACCTTAGGTTGACCTACTGACCATTCACTTTTTTCTTTTTTTTTGGTGTTAGGCCTGGGGCTTGAACTCAGGGCCTGGGTGCTGTCCCTGAGCTGCTTTTGCTCAAGGCTAGCACTCTACCACTTGAGCCACAGCACCACTTCTGGTTTTTTTATTTTGGTAACTTATTGCAGAGAAGAGTCTCACGGAATTTCTTGTCTGGGCTAGCTTTGAATCGTGATCCTCAGATCTCAGCCTCCTGAGTAGCTAGTATGACAGGTGTGTGCCACCAGCGCCCGGCCTAAGGTGACATATTATTAAAGTAATTAAAATAGGGCTTTGTATACATCAATTCTTATGTTTGTGAGGTTTTTTTTGGTCAGTCATGGGACTTGAACTCAGGCCCTGAGTTCTTGTGAAGCACTGTACCACTTTGAGCCACAGCATGATTTCTGGTTTTTCAGTGGTTCATTGGAGGTAAGAGTCTCACAGGGTCTTTTCTGTCTGTCTGGGCTGTGTTGAACCTCGATCCTCAGATCTCAGCCTCCTGAGCAGCTAGGATGACATAGGCATGAGCCATCAGCACCCAGCTCCAAGTCTACCTTGAAGCCTTTTCTTGTACTTTGGCTCCCTCTGCTGGCCTTTGTGGAAGTCCTGTGTTTGGTCTTCTCTGGTCTTTTTTTGTTTTTTTTGTCCGTCTTGGGGCCTGAACTCAGGGCCTGGGCGCTGTCCTTCAGCTTTTCAGCTCAAGGCTAGAGCTCAACCACTTGAGCCATAGCACCACTTCCGGCTTTTTCTGCTTATGTGGTGCTGAGGAATCGAACCCAGGGTCTTACGCATGCAAGGCAAGAACTCCACCATTGAGCCACCTTCCCAACCCCTTCCCCTTTGGTCTTTCTGACCAGCTTAAAACTTTGCCCAGGTTCATGTCTGCTTCTAGCTCTATGAACATTAAGTCAAGATCAAGTGAAGAATCTATGTGTGAGCCACCATAGCTCACACCTGTTCTTTCTTTCTTTCTATCTTTCCTCCCTCCCTCCCTCCCTCCCTCCCTCCCCCCTCCCTTCTTTCTTTCTTTCTTTCTTGTCGGTTGTGGGGCTTGAACTCTGGGCCTGAGTGCTGTCCCTGAGTTCTTCAGCTCAAGGTGAGCCCTCTACTACTTGAGCCACAGCATCACTTCTGGCTTTTATTCTGTGATTACTTGGAGAGGAGAGTCTCCTCCAATTTCCTGCTCTGGGCTGGCTTTGAACAGCAATCCTCAGATCTCAGCCTCCTGAGTAGCTAGGATGACAGGTGTGAGCCACCAGTGCCCGGTTAGATTGATATTTTTGCTCTTAATTACTCTTGATGCTGTTACACTTTTTAACTTTCTAGCTCTTGTTTAACGTTCTATGTTTTGGGTCCAACCTAGAAAATAGAAGTATCCTCATCAGGGAGCTGGTAGAGTGTTTGCCTAGCATTCATGAAGCCCTGGGTTTGACTCCTCAGTACCACAGACACAGAAAAAGCCAGATAGTGGCACTGTGGCTCCAGTGGTAAGAGCGCCAGCCTTGAGCCAAAGAAGTTCGGGAGACAGTGCCCAGGCCCTGAGTGCAAGTTCCAGGACTGACATAAAATAAATAAATAGAGAATAAACAGAAAGTAGCCTTGTGAGGCTTACCTTGTTTTGTATATAGCCACTACTTGTGGTTTTTGCCTTTCTAAAAGCTTTGTGCAAGAGCCATTTGGGGCTGCAGGTCTTTGTGACCAGAGTCTACCTGTGGTTGCTGACTTTCCACTCAAGACTGGCAATTCAACCTTTCAACTTGTGGCATCTCTGTATCTGGCTGATCAAACTGCCACTAAACAACCCGCATGAGCCACCAGTTGGTCATTTTTGTTCCTAGTTCGTGGGTTACAGGTCAAAGTGACCTTTTGTAATTGACCATAACCCTAATAGCTCATATCAGCTTGCTTCTGAAGTAAGGAGTCTGGGTCCAACTTGGCACCATCTTGGCCACGTGGTGGATGAGAAGGTATTGGGTTTAACTGTCGCCATCTTGTCTTTGTGGTGAAGGAAGGGAAGTTCCACCTCTTCCCCAGGTGATGGGCGTGCCTGAATTCCTAGAGGGAGGAGCAGGGACTTGGATGATGGGTTACTGGACCTGTCAGTCCTTGTGCCTTGAATTTGTGAGACTCTACTTGCAGTCGATAGCTTTCTAATAAAGACTTCCAATTTGACCTCTCAAAATGTGGTCTCTCCGTTCCTCATGATTAGATTCCCATGTAACACTTCTTCCCTTGAACAGATACCACATATTCTAGCAAGACAAGACACCCGACCCCATACAACCATACTTATACTAGGCACAGGTTAGTAGAGTACCCCTACTCTCTCCCAGATACAGGACTAACCAATCTATAATACACTGCTTAAGTTTTTGGAGGGGTGGGGGCTGGTCATGGGACTTGAACTCAGGGCTTGGACGCTGTCCCTGAGCTTTTGTTTCACTCAAGGCGAACACTCTACCACTTTTGAGCCCACAACTCCACTTGCAGTTTTCTGGTGGTTCAGTGGAGATAAGAGTCTCACAGACTTTCTTGCCCGGGCTGGCTTTGAACCTCACTCCTCAGATCTCAGCCTCTCGAGTAGCTAGGATGACAGGAATGATCCACCGGTGCCTGACTTACTTGCTTATCATCCTTCAGAAGGTATTCTTTGTATAGGTAGGTCCGTGCACACATGTAATATGGATTTTCCTCAGATCGGTTGCACTGCAGAATGAATATATATTTTATATTAAACATATGTAATAAATGTTATATATGTGTATCATCTTTCTGGAGGTATTCTTCGTACACGTAGGTCCATGCACACATGAAATATGGATTTTCCTCAGTTCTGCTGCATTGCGGAATGGATATATAATATATGTTATATAAAATATGTATAATATACATTATATGCAATATATAAAACATACATATTATATGATATTATATATCTTGGATGAACAACTCTGCCCTGGGCTGGTGGTTGTGCGGTAGGTGTGAAAGACACATTCTAGGACTCCAGACATCAGCCTGTGCTGCGGGGTTAAAGGTCACAACCCTCTGGAGACGCGGTCCCGGGCCAGGGTGGGAGGTGTCACCCTCCCTGTCGCGCACGCGCAGTCAGGTCACCGCAGGGTGCCACGTAATGAAAGGTCAGGGGTGACAGCACCTACCCAGCAGCATAGTATTCCGCATCTCCAAGCAGATCAGGACAGGGCCCGGAGCTTGCCGTGGCTCCCGAGCTGCTCTCTGATCGTGGCGGCCGCCCTCTGCCTCTCCTTCTTCTCCCTGGACGGCTCTTCCCAGAAGGAGGGAAGGGGAGAACCATAGAGTAGGTGGGGTTGGGCTATGGGGGGGCGTCTGGGTCCTCCAAGATTCCTAGAGGGGCTCCTCGCCCCGCTCGTCCCTACCATGGCCAAGGTGCACGTGGCTCCTGGCCTCTCCGCCCGCGGCGTGATGACGCACTTCCGGTGAGGCAGCCATCTTGGCGATTCCTAGCGAGGCTCCTCCCCTTTTTTGGCTCTACGCTGGGCAAGGTGCACGTGGTCCCCCCCGGGGCGTGATGACGCACTTCCGGCGGGCAGCCATCTTGGCTCCTAACGGTCGTCCGTTGGGTGGGGCGGCCTTGGTGAGGCACGGCGGGTGGAGGCGGCCGCCACCTCGGGTTCCGCGGACGCTGCGGAGGCCGCCGGGGGCCTCTGGCGTG